TTCAGAAGCGACATGCTAGGCCGCTTCCGCGCGATAAAAGAAAGAACGCTCTTTGACCAAGAATATGACGAAGTTTTAGACAGAACTAAAATGCACAGTTTCAATGACTTGTAACAAATAAATAACAGTATATCAAGAGTAGCATGTCCTTATTACTACCGAATAATCCTGAGGTCAGCCTCGGTTCTGATCCGGCGTTTAATTTCCAATTTCAGCTGGTTGAAACGGTTGAACCGGATACGCAAAAGAAACCATATATTTGTCTCAAAAGAAGACCGGAAATTACCTGTGAGGACCAGCATTAACCATCATGCTGTCCAGCGAGATAGGATGATGATCTCTCTATAACCAAGACACCATTTTAAAGTGATATCTTCTTTGATAGAGCGGAATTAGTTCTCAATGAAAGAATTCCACTTTGTCCGTTATACATAACAATCGGAACCAACGTAATTAAAACAATTGATAAATATGTCAACACATTTCTGTCCTTTACATTACCAACACTAAGAAGAACCGATTAAAAATGGTGGTCGGGTGGCACAGTTGATAGTGCATTTGCCTTTCACCAAGGCGGCCGGGGTTCGATTCTCCAATCGGATGTGAAATGGTATGGGGTGCACCTGCCCGACCACTTGGGTTTTCTCCGGTTCCTCCGGTTCCTCCCACATTAAGACCCCTGTGCACTAAAATCCGGGCCAACCAGAGTGATTATTATAAGTTAAAATAACTTGTTTCATAATTGTTATAAAATAAATAAAGTTAATATTTATAACCGATAAAGAATCGGAGGTAATAATCGATCTATTAAATCGTTGTTCCTATTGGATTCATTCAGAAAAGAAATGTGGTGCTATCTGGTAAAGGACAACATTTTTGAACCATCTGTATAATTTTGTATAACATGTATAAAGACGCAATGAAGTGTTAGTAGGATCACCATTAATGTAAATCAAACATTGACCTCTGCTCTGGATGTTCTGGTGCCATGAGCAATTACAGAAACGCTACTACCATACGGAATATTTGAAATTAGTTGCAGATCTTGATGAAGTGACAAAACTGGTAAACATACCAGGAAAAATGCGGGGGTTAAATGTCCGCTAACAAAGTCAATATCTTTTATGACTACCATTTGTTTAAACACTTATACTTAGCAATAGTACCTCATAGACGACATCAGCTTATTGTAAAAGGTTAAAAGAATGTCATTCCTCGTTAGTGTCAAGGTTGAACCCACTACACCAATGTTCCCGGCCAATTCTGCAGATGCCGCCGACATATTACTGGGATATAGGTCGGGAGGCACACATGTACAGCCATCTGCCTTTATATTGGTCACAAACGCTAAAACGAAACAATCCTTACAAGAACTGGAGATTTTTATAACTTTTGTAATGTATATGAAAGCAAGTGCCTATGGGTGTGACAAGTATAGACAGCCGATTAAACGAACTTAATGGGAAACATGAAAATGGTATGCGGTTCCTCTGTATTAATGCAGACCAGTTCTTTGGGAACACGAAATACAAGTTCGTATAATTGAAAATTCGGGGCAATCGGGAATCAGATAATTGGCGTTTTATTTTTGTCATTTCATTTGATAGACATGTACAATAGCGTAAGCTCATAAGAGCTTTTTTCAACAAAACGTTTGTAAATATAAGGCCTGCAGCACACATAAAGATAACATGGGCAGTATATTATTAAAGGATAGTTTCGTTATAGTTGTGTGAAGCGGTTAATGATATATCTATTCAACTTAATTCCTTAAAGAGTTGTGTTTTGATAGTTGTCATAAATGTCGTTGCAATAGTTTCACCCATCCTACATTTCAGTGTAAGTTTAATACCGCATGCGACGATCTCAACAGCCCGAGGATCATCTGTCCCTAGCACCTGACTTAGACATTTTGACCTATAGATGTAAATGTGTCAAAATGTCTAAGTCTGGTGTTAGAAACCAGATGAAACTCGGCATACCCGTTTAAGAACTAGGCAGGTCTCCAATCAGTGAAGCTTATGACACACCATTTCAAACGACGTTGATTAATTTTGTGTCCGATGTCTTGGACTCAAACCATAAGTTTCAGACACATCAAGCCTCCATGGTTATCAATCACTTTGGTAGCCGTTTCAGACAGCCCCGGATAATAGACAGACGCACGTCTGTCCTGAAATCGTGACGTTACACGCGGACGTCCAATGTAGGACGGTCTACTAACCTCCCCGTATATATGTGTCAGACGCATAATATACATCTAAGCTGAAAATTGTTGATCGAGGCACACCGAGGCTTAGATTTGATAAGTTTGTTAAATGCGTACGACAAGGTTCCGTGATTAAGTTTACCCAATTTAACAAGTACCTCCTAGATCGCACCAAAAACAAGTATACCACCATTTTACTGAATTTTGTCAACAAATAGAAAATGTATAGTAACAACAGGCCCAGGGGGCTTGTATCGCTCACCTGTCTCTTTCGTTATATGAAACTGATATATAGGTAACTTAAGACCAAATTTGGTAACTAGAACACAAGACATTTTAACATCTCATAAACGGTTCTGAAGATATTGTTGTTTGAAATTTTAATTTCAAAGCTTTTAACCCACATTGACCTTAGACTCCCGACTTGCACTTAAAGTTGACCTTTGACCTCATTATTGTAATAAAGAAAACAATTCACACAGCTGGTCTACATAACATACCCAAGTATCATGACTCTAGTCCAAATGGTTCTTAGATGTTGTTGTTTGAAGTTTTTAATATATATTTGACCCCTGTGACCTTGAAAATAGGTCAATGTCATTTTTGAGGAAACTTTATAGCACTTCATCCCAGGTACCTACTGGCCAAATATCATGACCCTGGGCTTTATGGAACTTGAGAAGAAGATTGTTAAAGCTTTTACATATGTAACCAATGTTGACATTTGACCCCTGACTAGCTCTTTAAGTTGACCTCATTACTGTTATTTAGATAAATATCCCCACTGCTGGTTTTCATAACATACCCAAGTATCATGACTCTAGTCATAATGGTTCTGAGGATATTATTGTTTGAAGTTTTTAACATATTTTACCCCTGTGACCTTGAAAGGAGGTCAAAGACATTTTCATGAGGATATTTTATAGCACTTTATCCCAGGTATCAACTGGCCAAATATGATGACCCTGGGCCTTATGGAACTTGAGAAGAAGATTGTTAAAGCTTTTAATCCACATTTAAAATTTGACCCCTTACCAGCACTTAAAGTTGATCTTTGACCTCATTACTGAAATTGAGAAAAAATATTTGCACTGCTGGTCTACATAACATACCTAAGTATCATGACTCAAGTACAAATGGTTCCTAGGATATTGTTGTTTGAAATTTTTAACATATTTGACCCCAATGACCTTGAAAGTAGGTCAAGGTCATTTTAATGAGGAAACTTTATAGCACTTCATCCCAGGTACCTACTGGCCAAATATAATGACCCTAGGTTCTCCAGTTCTGTAGAAGAAGTCGTTCAAAAGAAAAAGTTGATGGACTGGCGACGGACGGGCCAGGTGAGCTAAAAACTTGATGACCAGGGTGTTGAGAAGTTTAGCAAAAAAGGATAAGTAGTTGTGGTTTCTTAGTTTGTTATAACGGCAAGACATTCAACTCATTGAAATCTGTAGCAAACTCTTGACGAGAAAATGACAAAAATTAAACGTGTGCAACCTGCTTTTTGTCAATTAGTGAACTCTTTATTAGATCCATGGCAGGCCAAACACTTCAACCTCCTAAAACGAAACATTAGTGTCTAATTTCAACACCTGAAACTGGCATATAATAAAGAATAAAAACAATCAAATACTGGGCACACTAGAATGCCACTGAAGAGCTCGTTTTAGTTTGCTACAAATAACACTCGCGTCGGTTGACATATACAAGACTACAGCTATACCAGAGACGTACAAGAGTATATGTAATATATATACATCTCTGGTTATACTTACACACTTTAAAATGAGTAAATGTTCCTTTACTATATAATAGATAAACAGCAACGTGCTTTAATTAACATTACATCATTTTCTTGTTAGATTCTATGTTTACATTTTCTTTCAATGACATTTTTGTGACTTCGATTTTCGTCCAATTTCGATAGAATTTGGTACACAGCTAAGGAATTGTCTAGCACTTGTTTTGGTCATGTCCGACTTCCGATGTCATCTAGCCATTGACCAGTGAAAAGTGCAAGCATTTTTTTTTTTTTTTTTTTTAAATTTTTAAATTTCTGTTGTTTCTGTAGGTTGTGTTTTTATTGTATCTAGTTACTATTTCTATATTCATGTAATCCTTGATATCATTGGAATGAATGTCCCATTTAATTGTCATATTTTTGTTATTTTCCGCGACCGTGTAATGTTGACGCCGAGATAATCCAGCATCACAGAAGTCAATGAGATAATGCTGTATCTACCTACCTATCTACCTACCTACGTGGATCTACCGATTTGAAAGAATATTGTCAAGAACAGTAAATGGCAAAGGTCAGAGGCAGAGTCTGCTAAGAATTAATTTGCTGGTAGGTTTTCAACCAAAAGGGACTCTGCTGTGATATCAAGTTTGAACAACAGTCTGTTGTGTACGATTCACTACACTTTAGAATCGTAAAGTGATTTCAATCCAGGGACTGACCAGGAGTAAAATATACATGTAACTTCGATAAAGCCTTTGCAAATTGAAACAGAATGAAGATCAGTGTGAGGAATATAATTGTGTGGTACTGGAGTTATATGGAACCCTAAAATACAACCTCATCCAAGGTATTCTCATATTTGGATAAAGTTTTATCAAATTCTGTTCAGAAATTAAGTTGAAACAGGGATGAAAGGGAAATATAGGTTAACACTACATACATATATATTCACCATAAAATGGGAAGGGCATAATGAAAACTAAAAGCCAACCAACTTGAATGATGCAAGTGGTGTCACTTGACAAAATAGAATAGTTAATACTGGTACTTCTTGACAAAGTCAATTTATTCTTGAGCTTTACAACATAGAAGCTATAGCGTAGGATGCTTTTGTCAACAATGGTCTGTTAAGTATGTGACTTGCTTTTTAACTCTCGAAACGACATCACCGTAGCTTTCCTTTTGCATAGGTCATAAATTTGTACTTCATTCTTTAATGTTTGTGAGTTTATGAAACATTTTTCCTGTAGACACTAGCTGAGCTGCTTAAAGACCTGAACAGATACCCACATGAATATCACAAATCCTCCAAGTCTTTTCCCGACTCGCGTTGTCAAGTTCACCACATAACCTTTTATCGAGGGGAAACACAGCAGAGAGAACTGATCACTTCCTACAGAACACTGAATTAGTTGGTATTCTAAATAGAATATTTTGGTCATGTAGCACCGAGGATTATATTCTGTAGTCTCCACACAATGGCCAACAGTAAACAGGCCAAGGACAGGAACTTCAATGTCTGTTTCACAAAGTCAGAACCTTCATTAACCTGCAAGAGAAATAGTTCCTGTTAATTTCATAATTCAACTCTGGGCTATTCCAGTAACAAATCTGCCCGCCTCTGCACCTCAGGATTAAAAAAGACATCACTTCTATCCATCATTGGGGTTTCTGCCTATTCTATGCAGAGTAATTGAGTTCTATGGGTGAATAAAATCTCAGGCTTGAGCTGTTAACATGTACACTAAACGTCATTTGTTCATAGTCTGATTATAAATTTAGAACATTTAATACATTAACGTTACACAGGTATCAAAGTTTATAAAGCGAGCGTGACCATAGAAAGTATCTTGAAGGAGTTAGACTTTCTTGACAAACTTTATGAAAAAATTATAATAAATCTAAAACCATAGTGACACATGCCATGTCCCTACCTGCACTGTATTACTGACGCCAGAAACCTGTCCCTTCTTCAGTGGGGGAGGAACAGATGGCTGAGTTATCTTCTCTTTAGATACCAGTCTTCCTTTCAGAAAGTGTTTCCCTGTATCTACGATTTCCACACGAACCAATTTGCCCATAAAATCCTCATCCTGGGGAACTAACACCTAACAAAAAAACAAATTGAGAAATTAAACTCTGAACAAAATGAAACTTGTTTTTACAATAAAGCGATTTCTAAGTATTATTGAAATTACTCAAAATGCAAGGTAGCATCTTCATATTTCTCAATGTGTCATTCCTGTTCTGTTCATGCAATATATACCTGTATAAGCTTTTTTTTCAAACTAATAAGAAAATGTTAATGAAGTTAATTGATAGAACTATTGTCTTATAATTACCTGATCGTAAAATTTATTGTGACCAACATAATACTGTTTGTCGTGTGAGATTTCTGTCACCAGCACATCCTGGATTTCTCCCATCTGTAAATAACGTAAGAAGCAATGCAATTCAAGAACAATCATTACTCTACAGGGCATATTAAATATAAAATACTTATAGTCTTGCAGATATGATTCTAAGATGAAAGCATTTCGTTTAAATGTATGAAAAAGATACTTTAAAAAAAAAGAAATAAGAATAGTTAAGGATGCTACAGAGGACATTTGCTTAAGACATGATATTACAAATTTGGCATACATATTGTTTTTTTTTTAAAAGTACAAAATTCATATATATACTAAGTTAAAGTACAAAATTCATATATATAATAAGTAAAAGTACAAAATTCATATATATACTTAGTAAAAGTACAAAATTCATATATATACTAAGTAAAAGTACAAAATTCATATATATACTTAGTAAAATTACAAAATTCATATATATACTAAGTAAATTTCCACTTTCAAACTCAGTTCATTTTTGTCACTTTATCAGGCATACAGAACCAGTAACAAAGTATGTGAACATTTCCTTCTGCCAATCATTCACTCTTAAAAAGTGGATATATCATTCAGCAGGAGATTTCTCTATCTTGCTCAAACATGGAGGTGACTGATGCCAACATTACAGAAACCAGCCATGTATGTTAATCTAAGTTTGTGATGGGTTTTTTTTTTTTTTATTAAAAAGGCTTATGCAAAAAAGAAGTCACCTATCATATCTTCCTCAATATTCAGGGGTTACGTTCACTTTCACTCTCTACACCCATGGAATATGTCATAGCAAAATTGAAGGCACGTGGCTATGTATTTGATTGGTGTCAGGTATAAAAACCTGACCAATCACTTGACTGATACTTGTCCTTTGAAGATTACAAAAGAGCGACGCCGACTTCAAAGCTTGTCAATTTTTACCATTACGCAACCGTGATATTCTTTTAATGTACATCAAAGGACCAAACTGGTTTTCTCATCTCATCCACAAAGTGCTGCACACTGAGCCTTCGATTTTGCTATGACATATTCCAGGGGGGGTGTAGAGAGCGAAAGTGAGCGTTACCCCTGGATATTAAGGATGCTATCATATAGGCTATTGAGGCATTGAGGTAGAGAAATAAGAAGTCTAGGGAAGAATTTTCTTTCAAAACACATAATGAAAACAGAACAGCAAAATCTGAACTATTACATTTTCCCTATGCACGGGGTGGTGGATATAATCATGGTTTGATTCCCTGATTGGGCGTGAATTGGTATGGGGTCACCTGGCTCACCACATTGGTTTTCTCTGGGTACTCCAGTTTCCTCCCACATTAAGACCCCTGCGCACTTACATTCAGGTCAACAAGTTGAAATAACTTGTTTCATAACTGTTCTAAATTAAATAAAGTTTAAAGGTTTTTAAATATTGAAGTTTTGTTAAAGTTGCACTAAAATATATACCTTATGGTCATATGTCCTATACGAGTGAAACAACTCTGACACTGCCTTTGTCCTCTTCTTTACCTGGAACCAAAAAATACACTTTATACTGACTATTTTTTGTGTAACAATCTCTATATATTACACTACCTATTGTAATAGACACTACACATTGCACTAAACTGTATTTACAGTATTTTGAAAACATGTATGAAAGTTTCATGACAATCTGATAAGATATAAAGTCTGGAGAGTGATGAGGCCAAAATTCTCTTTACAGTTATGGGAACACTTTTTACAGTTTGACTACAGACAGTGGAAATACAAGCGTGTACCACGGTTGGGGTTTGTGAATATGCAACTGAATTTCATGACAATCAGATATGAAATAAAGTCTGTTTCATTGTGATGCCAAAATTCTATTTAAAGTTACCATGTTTTATTTTGACTGTAGAAATTGGTGACCACATCCATGAACTTTCAAGATGATCTCATAGGAAATAAAGTTGGTAGAGTTATGATGCCGACAAAGACAGGCCTGTTAGAACATAAGGGCAGATCCCTATATATATACCCTCCAATAACCTAACGAGAAAGGCAACTTTGAAGAAGTCCCAAGAGAGCTCTAAGTAGACCACTGTACCTGTGGAGGAGGGATTCTTGGCATCTTAGCTGCTGGTGTCCCAGGTCGTGGGAAGAACTGGTTAATAAATAGACTTGGAAATTTGTAGTCTTCCACTAGCTTCATGGTTTCTTTAAAATCCTAAAACGAATTACAATTATATTTGTTATTGCGAACTTAAATATCTTTTGACTCAAGGCTATTTATTTTTACGAGTGTTACCTTGTGTACATTTAACATCTTGTTCATGTCAAAGATTGTTCAGTGTACACTGACAATCAAATTTTAAAGCTTCATTGTAAATTCATTATGAAATATTGTAGACTGATTTATGAGTCTTCCACCAGTACTAAAAGACGGGACTATAGGTCTTCACTCCATCTGTCAGTCTGGCTGTTAGTCCTGTTAATCAGACTGCTAGTATGTCACTTTGGAGAATATCTCACATCCTCTTTCACAATTACCTAATTTTGTATGCAAATACCTCTTGTAATGATAAAGTGTTACATTTTAAATTGGGTATCGTGCCCCATAATATACAGAGTAATTGCCTTTTGTTCATGTTGTCTGGGCATATCTTATATACTGTGAAACTTACAATAGACAAATTTTATATGCAAGTACCCCAATAATATGCCACCTTTTATTTCTCAATGAAAATGAGAAAGTAAGACTATGTGAAGTCAAAGTAGTCAACAGTACAGTAAAACCTCCATATAATGCCCCTCATTTATATACAGTAAAACCTCCATATAATGCCCCTCGTTTCATTTGCCACCTTGTTCACTGCCAACATATTTCAATGACCCCCTTTTCATGTTTTTTTTAAGTCCTTTATAAGTTTCCCTCAATTTATTGCCAAACCCATTTATAATGCCACGTTTTCTCTGGACAAATGGTGGCGGTATAACAAGGTTTTACTGTACATAAATGTTCATCAATCTGTTTCACAAATGTCACTATCATATGTCCTGCCAGGTCCATTTAAAGTGAGTAACACTTCTCTGACTCACTTCTTCTGTCTCTGTCGGGAATCCGCAGATCAGATCAGTTGCTATGGTAACACCAGGAACTCTGAAACATCAAACAAAGTATCATTGATATTGCACGTAAAACCTGGCAAAAATCTAGTTAGAGTTTAATTTTGTTTACTTTGAGAAAAGTTTGAATTGTACATTATATTAAGGTCAAGGTCTGTTAATGTTTGTTTCTTCTTCAGATGCAATAAGGTACATCTGGTTTGTCTTCCTCATTCATGACTGGTAACTACATTTATTACTAAATCTAGGAATCTAATTGGTTAAAAACTGCAGTGTACCAAACCGCATTCGTAAATCTCAGGGGGTATATGAAAATCTCAGGGGGTATACGGTCATGTCACGTGATTCTCAGCAGTAATACGGTGGAATCATGTGATTTTACAAGGGGTATACGAGTCACGTGTCTTTGTATCTTGCAGCCGGGCAACAGGAGACAACTCACATTTGTCGTCTGCTTCGCTGTTTACAAAATGTTTTAAATAGATTGGAAAAGCCACCTAATAAAATAGATTGACAGTTCCATTACTTATTCTTTTCCTTCATTCATTCTTGTAACCCGAACAGTCATTTGTCTATTATCGTGAAATACCTAAACAAGTGCGTAAAGGGTGATTAAATGAGACTGCCTATACAGTGGCAAATCTCTCCAAACACTCTCAAACTTGAAACATTTGATTTCATACAGATGATCAGACAGGTCCATTACAACTATCCTTAAACAACTGTTTAAGATTGTGTTTAGCAGTCTTGCATGAATTGACTGATGCTAGGTAACAAAACTGTGAACCGTACCAGAACACACATGACTGGACAGCTCTAGGATACACAATACTTATACAATTATGTTAACACCTTGTTTGAAGAAATCCGTCATAAATTGTTCCTTATACTATTGGTATTTCCCTACCAGCAAACTGAGGCTCCTCCAAATTCTGGCAAAGATCTATACCTTATACTGTCCCTATTGGTTAATATATAACTTTGGTGTCCCTATTGGTTAATATATAACTTTGGTGTAACCTCTCTGTCTGATAACATTAAAAGATCCATTTGTACTGAGAAAAAACTGTTTTACATACTTGGCTTTGAGAAAATCTGCCACCTGTCTGAAGTCGTCCTGACAATACTCCCGTTTCATATCCATGAGGACACTGTCCGAGGCAGACTGGACTGGCACATGGAGGAAAGCATACACACGTGGGTGACTCAACACCTTGGCAATCTCCTGAAACATCAACAATGTATGTTACTCAAATATTTACAAACCGTCCAGGGATATGCATATATCAGGTGTTCAGAAGCTGGTAAATTGGTTATCTCTATAGAATCAATATTAAACAGAAATTCCCCACATACTTTGTAATTTCTCTGACCAAAGATCCTTATCAAAATGTTTCTTTTGATTAATATTTGATGAAGAAACCTTGTGTAATAATTTTTGACCTGGCTTCATATATTTGAGTGAATTGAAATATTTAGGAGTTGAATTTCTTCTTCATTCTGAGAGTGTTAATTAAGGCATGTTGTTCTCCTCAAGAATATTTGTGATGTCTTCAATCATTCACCAACTATCATTTATTTTGCTGCAAATTTCGGACATACCTCGAGATGCTCCAATATGTATGGTGGGTTAGTCATTCCCAGCCTCATTCTGGCACCTTCAGGTATGACCTCTACTAGTTGCCATAGTAACTCTGGCAAGGTAACACCAATGTCGCGTCCATATGCCCCAAGGTCTTCTGATGTCAGCCATATTTCTACCACACCCTCTGTCAAGTTTGAAAGTGTAATTTATTGAGAAACTTTTAGATGGAACTTGATGATTGACATATTGGTAAATAATGAATTATTTTTTATAAGGCATGGTATCAGTACAGTTAAACTGGTGTGTAGTTTTCAAAATGACTTAAAAAGCACCAGACAGTATATAATCTTATCACACTAAAATCAAAATGTCTGCAGGCAAACAATAAAATAATTCCAGACCAGGACTCAAAATTCTGCTTGGAACTGAATTTTGAATCAATAATCTTGTATTTACCTTCAAATGATTGTTTTGCCCTGGCTACAATCTCCTGTGGTCTGTAACTCCCCAGTTCTCCTCGGGCGTGCTTCGTCTTACAGTATGTACACTGGTTAAGGCATCTGTGATAAATATACACTTATTATATAAATATACACTTATTATATAAATATACACATATTATATAAATATACACATATTATTTACTACAAAGTTGTATACGTGAATGTAATTTTGTACCACTGATGCTCAGAATGTTTAAGATGGGATAAACCTGACAACTCCACAGGAGCCAGGAGCATTTATAATGATAAATAGCTCAATGGTTACATTAGAAATCACAAGACACCAGTGGATCACTACATAAATGCTTTTTTTATTTGCATACTTGATTCTTAAACTTTGCTTTAATAACGTACCAACAGGATGAAGTTTTTAACTGATACAGAGCACCAGCCACAAACAAACAATCTCACCCTGTATTAATGGCAATGATCTCAATCAGAGGGTTCTTCCTGATCTTTGGTAGACTGAGTGGTGCGCCCCCTGTTTTCTTCCCTGCCTCCTTCTTCTGTCCATACAGTCTGACAGAGTTACCTGTAATACACACATTTCAGATCACTTTATTTTGTGAATACCTTTTAATATTCTCATTTATTATTCCACAATTTTATGCTACAGATAAAGATGTCTAGAAAGGTACTGTACACGCTAATTGGATGCCTGTTAATTAAGTGGCTGGCCTGTGATTATAGACCTCTCAGTGACCAAGGTCAGTGTGAATCCATGTAGCTATTGTTTATTCACTGAGAATGACCAAACTTTATTTCTTTTTGTGAGACTGATTTATATGTTTGAGAAATGTGTCTCACGCCGCGAGTAATTTTCATGAGTCTCACCCTCAAATTGTTAGATATGGCATGTATGGGTACATCCACAGTGTTTTGTTGAAATCCTCTATAAACACTAGTCATACCTAATTGTTTTTATTTCACATATATAATTCAATAAAAAGTATTTGACAATTGAATTATAAATACAGGCAATATCTGTGCAGCTTATTTAACAGGTTTACCAAACATGTTAAAACTAATCGAAATGTTTCACAGGAGTTTGAAATATTGCAAAACTACTCATATGAACTCATGTCAAAAGAGAAACATATCTGTAACTTTTTTATCAATTTGACCAAAAAAAGCGAGCAAAATATATTAATTATGTTATGAAATCAGTCTCATAGAACTTGACATTTTTGCCTTATCTTGTGTTGACAAACTCAAGTGTTCATTTTCAGATTGGTTCACTGTTCAAAACTTGAACATTCACTTTAAATAATGTGTCAGCCAAATCTGATTTCCCATTCCACAAAAACAAACTTGTTGCCCATCTAGACTTTATGTCATCATTCACATTAAGTTTAGGTATAATATATCCAGAAAGCTAGGTATCCTTACCTTTTAGTGTTTCTTCTACAACCTCTGTTACTCTATCTATTTGTTGAACACCTATCACGCTTAATCCCTGTAAAAGGAAAGAAATAGCAAACTTTGAATACAAGAACACTTGTACACAGCGGTTTCTTCAAAAGTGTCCTTTCTATATCTCACTACACATATATCTTCTAACTGTATATATACAAATACAAGGAACAAAATTGGTGTTATTTGTTATGAAGTTCTGGTCAGGAAAATAAACATTATTAACTGCAAGATATAGTTTTTGGCCTTGTCTAAGGAAAATGATTACCAGCCTAGGCTGGTAAACTCGCCTAAGCTCTTATATAGTTTAACTATTCTGGGAAATCTTCATCACAGTTTAATTCTTCTGGGAAATTTTCACTGCAGTTTACATATTCTCACCATAGGGGTGCAGATAGCATAGGGAGCATAACTCCTGGAATTTCATGGATTGCCCTATGTTAGCCAAAGGAAATTACTGTCTGTAAAAAGTCTGCTTAAATACAGATACGTATGACCTACAAGAAGGCTGGCCTAGACAATCACTTCCTTTAAGAGGACTAGTCTAGAGAAAACAACAATGACCTTCAAGAAAGCTGCTCTAGGTTGTCCCTGGGGTACACATCCCGCCACCACCATCTTTTTGTCAAGTTCGCGGGCCTTGGTTATCTCATTCCTGAAGTGATCCTCAGCTGGGTTCTTCACTGTACAGCTGTTGAGCAGCCAGAGATCTGCAGACTCCTTGTTATCTGGTGGTACACAACACAAGTAATACTGACAGAGTTATCCGATGTAGCACATAGTCATAACATAAAATCACTGAAAACTGTCTTGATCATGTTTTGTTAGACATTTACATGTAAACATTTCTAATTTTTCAGGAATCAGTATTGTTCAAAATGGTTAACAATACAGAATTAATTATTTTTTCAAAATCTTGATTTTCAGCATTTGTTGTTTACATGACTGTGTATCACTCAAATAAAACCTTACCAACTATTTGGTAGCCGTAGGAAGCCAGCTGGCCGGCCATGTATTCACTGTCTGAGTTATTGTGGGAACATCCCCAGGTTTTCACATATATTTTCTGTGTACCTATCAAAATGTAACAACATACACTGGGTATCAGACAAATTTGTTCATGTTGAATTTATTGAATACTTTGAAACAATCATAGGCATAATGATCTTCATGATCTTAAATCCCAGAACGGATTAGAATGGTACTTCTGTAATTTGTGTTTTATAAAAAACACTAAATGAATCAGTAGTTCTGTAGTGACAAGGCTGACACTGTCCCTTTAATGAATTACAGTACCAGTAAACCAAACTGGAGGAAATCACAAAACAATTGAAAACAATAGATTAACATTGTCTGTGTCAAGTGTTTTCATTTGTTATCTAAACTATACAAATTAATGAAAGAGTTTCCACCAATAGGGTATGATAGTGGCCATCTTGAATTTCTTACTGCTTATTGACACAAACAATTACAACATTAACACTATTTACTAATTTTCATGGTGGATTTGAATGCTAGAATGTCCCAACAAGATAATAAAATAGCCATTCTTGAATTTCAAATCATTTAAATCAACATTTGATCCATGTGACCTTTGCTAGTCTTTAATATCTATACACAAATATTTGTTCTGTGTTTCTTTGACTAAAACAGTTCAACATGAGATTATTCACAGAGTGCTACAATGACTAAAGGGATTTCTGTCTAGGCAGTTTGATTTGTTACATGTGACTAGATGCTACACAAATGACATATAGATATTTTTTTTTATTTAACCTGGAATGTGGCTATCTCCTTGAACTTGTTCTCTGACTTGGGAGCCAAGTTTCTTAGCCCTGGCTGTGACCAGTTTGCGAGGTTTGTGTCTGATGTCCTCTGATGATGTTTCTTTGGAGATCATATCCTCTATGTCTGCCACATCATCATCTTTTTCACATCCTGATGAAGCTGGCATTGTGTATTACTTAAAATAGTCTTGTATATCTACAAAAAAGAAGATTAATTACTGTAGAAGTTTTATGACTGTGTTTTTATGGTTGACCTACATTGTATAAGCAGCACAGTTTTGTTATGTGTGTGGCTGTGTTTGTTCTCTCTGTATTTCAACTTTGTTAAAGTTAGTATAGTTTGGTGTTTTGTCTACCTCATAGATCATAAAAGTTGAAATGACCAGTGGATCAAAATTGTCTATGATGCATTTCCTTAGGGATATACTAAAAAAACATTATTTCCATTTGGTTCAGAATGGTCATTTCATTGCATGAACAGTAACTGGAATGAGACCTGTTCAAGCATACAAAGTTACCAGGTTACAGCCAAAGTGGCAGGTGCTTGCATGTTTCAAACAGATGTCTAATGCTTAAAATATGACAGGCATAAAAACAAATCATACTGAAGCAATGTCACTGCACGTGCTCAATTATTACACGATTCTATATTCATTTTTCCTGACAATACAACTTTCGGTGATCTATGGTATTTATACTCACAAGTAAATATGTATTGTACGTCAATTTTGGTATCTAAACATGCTTTCACAATAAAGCACACAACTTCATCAACTTGTTGTAATACCGGAAGTTCAACGTGACTTTTTATGAAGAGTTCTTATAAAGGGAAGTTACTCTAAAAAGACTTGCTGGACGGAGGCGGAAAGTAAATAACAAAATATTGAAATATGTGATCTGCTACAACAAAATATGGAATGTTATGACAACGAAATTTAACACATGTGTTACAACGAGGATAGCACACGACGAATTTAATGAGTATCAAGTTTTCTTCGCGGCCACTGTCGACTAATCTCCCCATATGTCGCTGGCAGGTAAATACCATTATCTGTCATTGTCAAAGAGAAAGTAGAATTTTTAGAATGTGCAAGTCTTATCATGGTTTAACATAAAGATAATCGGGTACTTTGATGTCATTAAATCTTGTATACAGTTTAAAATCCTTATTTACTAAACTATTGCATTTCGAGAAAGTCAACTCACTGGTCAGTCTGGTGTAAGGTAAACAGGTAAAAGCTACCCATTTCTAGACCTATGTAAAACTATATTGGTTAATTGGCATATATGTAATTTGTTAATCCTCTTTTGCAACTTTGAATTGCATTCAATTTTATGTTCATTGCCTATTATTCTATGAAACCAAGGATAACTCATAATAACTTCACTTGTAAGTAATAACGTTAGGCTTATTTTTCACACCATGGAATTGACCATTCATAATAAATAATAATAATATTTATTCAGGTAAAAATAGGCATATTACAGTACATAAATATCACAGAGTAGAGTAAAGTACAATATTAAAAAAAGTACTTCTATCTTAAAATAACAACATTAAGCACTGGTTAATATATGAGATCAATAGATTGGAATTTTTATCTAAATTGCAGCCTTTTACCTAGGATAACCCAAAAGCTAAAAGCTTATTTCCATTGGGATCCTTTAAAAGAAACTAAAATACAATTTTAAAATTGAGTATTGGTTTTATACATTATTTGATACATTTGTGGACATCATTCATAAAAAATAAACTGCTATTCCATTTAAACATGATGGTCAGTTTAAAAGTACACATAATACTTTTCTCTATTTAAATGTGAAACATACAGTAAAATATTCAAATAATCTAAAAACATAGAATCATATTAAAAGTACACGTATTCACTTTTTTGTTTTTCTTTCATAAGCTTCTGTAGATGACTCTTCACCTTATATTTAAAAGTGAATTTATTATTTAAACTTTTGATGTTTTCAGGAGGTAAATTCCAATCTTTGGTACCAGTAAAATAAAAAGTTGACCATTCAGCTGTTGTTAAAGTTGCAAGTCTGGGAAAATACCTGGAATATGGAATTTAACCCAAGTAAATGTCAGGTCATACAAATTAACAGGTAAAAAAAAACTATTCCATCCAGGTACATACTTATCAACCAAACTTTATAAACTGTCCCACGAAAAAAAATACCTTGGAGTTGATATTTCACATAACCTTACATGGAATAAACATGTAAATAGAGTGAGTAGTTCGGCTAATAGGTCATTAGGATTTTTCAAAGGGAATTTAACAGTAAAGAACGAGAAAATTAGGAGCACAGCGTACAACACCCTTGTCCATCCCAAATTAGAGTATTCGGCCTGTGTCTGGGACCCTCCAACTCAACAGCTTTAAGTAACCAACTAGAGATGGTCCAGAGCAGAGCAGCGCAATGGGTAAAGCGTGATCACTCCCCTCTTTTGAGTCTCTGACATATTGGTGAGTCTGGGTTGGCAAACTTTCCAACACACAGGCGGTCAGTGGCCAGGTTGTGTCTGTTTTACAAGATTGTCTATCAAGATCAGCTGGTTTATATTCCAATGCCACAATACATACAACATCCACTGAGATACTCAAGAGATGCTCATCAACATTCATACAGGCATATACCAACAACAAAAGACTATTACAAATATTCATTCTTTCCCTTGGCCATAGTACAGTGGAACTCTCTACCTCCTGACATAATTACCTCTCCTACTATTGATTCTTTCAAGGCGGCTGTTAGCGCTTTCAGCTTGTCTAGATCCTAGCAATCCAACCTTTTTTAACTTCACAAATATCTTATATTTTAACCTGACACGTAACTGTCTACAAATTAAATACATAAAAACAATGTATCACTACCACTTTCTTTCACTTTACTACTGCCAGTCTGGTAGCCCTGCACTTACTAGAACACTGTTTTTAACAACCTTCACTGAAGCGAATGCTGCACAGAGTACTCTTCAGTGTTGAAGAGATATATCCACTGCCCTTACTTTGCTTCAGTATGCTCTGGTATGAGAAAAATAGGTCCTACTTTTTGTATTCTAAAAATGTTGCCATCATATAATAAACATTAACTTTAAACTGAAAGTGGAGTATTTTCATAGGAAAAGAAGTGTTTCTATTAATGTAATTTGTATGTCAGATTTTCCTGGGAAAATGACACATTCATAGCAGGACAGAGCTGGGTGACTTCAGGTTACCAGGAAGCTCAACTGGTTAGAGCTCCTGTTAAGAGTGTGAATATTCCAAGTTCAAATTCTTGGCTCGACAATTTTCAATTCTGTCCCATTACATTGCGCTGATGACCAACCCTCGCTTCAAGTCATGTCTTGGCTAAGAATTAGGAAAAAGGATGGACATGTATAGCAGAACTGGGCAGGCTTACAGCTGCTGCATGACCAGCCAGCTCATCTAGACTTCTTTGGAGGTCCTGGGTTTGAATCCCAGTCCAGCCTTGTTGGATTTTCTTCTTCCTGATTCATATTATAGTTTTGTCGTCTGTAACGTTCTTTCATTACATTGTCTTGGTCCAAATAGTTTTTCACTTCGCTATTGTAATTTTATGTTAAATATAAGCAAAGCTCATATGGTAAATTGAAGTAAATTTGCATGTTTTATATGATAGTTATGAACTCATAAACTATATGAAAGAAATATCAGTTAACCCTTCACTTCCTTGTTTTATAGCTATATGAGGACCTAGTTTGTGATGCCAAATCGGGTCCTGTTGACAGAGTGTGGGTCTCTCCGGGGCATGTGTATATAACCATCAATGGAGGCACACATCTGTACACATTTGATACAAAGCCCACCAGTAAAACACATGTAAGTGGGAGGTATGCATATGTACTAACTTATCGGTTCATGGTCTATAACATGCTGTTGTAGACACTGACAAGTAATTTATCCTTCAAGTCAAGTTATAGATAGTAAAGACCTTTGTTCCATTGAGATGTTGAGGGTCAGTCGTCTTCCTCTCATTAAGTAAATATTACAGAATGCCTATGGCAGCTTTTAGGAAATCACTTTGTATACTTTTTCTTGAATCTTTTAGCTGTGGTAAAATTTGATATGTCAAACAATTTGTAATGTGTTTAGGAGAGCTAAAATCCATCTCAAAATTAATCTTAAAAATTCTGAAATCAAGTGTGCAATTATGAGTTTGACTCCTTCCATTTCACAACTGTACAGGGTAAAAATTGTGATGAGGTGCCAAACTAACACTTGTAATAACAAAATACGTAAATATATTCAGTGTATTAAAATGTAACACAGGTTGTATTAATGTCATATATCACTGTTTTGCAAGTACATGTATAATGATTTAACAGGAGGAGAACAGAGGATGTTTGGACTTAGCTGACCTTGACCATCCCATATTAGATATTCTAGTGTCTTCATCAAACTACAGTTTAGCCTATGTTGTAAGTATCATAGATGACCTTGACCTAATTCACTGTTAAAATATGTCGCTGTCTCTGTAAGAACTTATCTTTACTATACATGTTAAATATTATAGATAATTACAAATAGACATTTTGCATAGTGTGTGTCTAAACATTGTGACCTAAATTGTAGATATATACAAATACACAATGGAAAGTTTTGTGTCCAAACATTAAGAAAGTACATTGTTGATAATTACAAATAGACTACAGTATAGCTTTTGTCCAGACATTATGATCTTTTACCTGTTTAAGGTCCAGAGGAATGGCCACGTCCAGTGTTGGAAATTCCGCAGTGACTTGACATGGATGTTGGTTAAGAGATTTGACCTTTGCAATGTGAACAGGTCAGAGGTCACCAGCATATGTCTGCATTCAGGACAAGCAACATTATATTGGTGTGAGCGACGACCAACAATATCAGATGTTGCTAATTACTCTATTTGTAAACGACAGATAGATGTAGGTAAGGTGAAAACTGTGGAGAGTATTTCAGTATTGTTGCTTGTAAGATTCAAAGGTTGTATTTAACAGTTACATTGTGTACAGGATCTGTACCATCCTTGAAATGCAACAGTTCTGGTTTCAATACACACATCTCCTGCAATGTGTCATGACAAAATTGAAGGCTTTTTAGGCGACAACTTGCCGATGATACAAGTGGACTAATCTGGTGTCTTTGATGAAGGTAAAAAGAATCGCGACAATGTAACAGTAAATTTGACAGGCTATGAAGTTGGATGAGCTCCTTTGTAATCTGCCAAGGACAGGTATCAGTCTAACAATTGTTCAAGTTTTTGACCTGAAACCCGCAACTAATAAATTACCGCGAGACTTCGATTATATCATGACATATGCCAGGGTGTAGAGACAGGTGTACAGAGAGTGGAAGCGTTTGATTTTGAGGAAGTATCTGTACATAAACACAAACACCATGAATGTACAACTGGTGGATCTAAGTGTTTTTTCTCTCCAATTTTAATGAAAATTGTGATGCAATATAGAAGGATTGTTTTTTTAAATCAATATTGGAGCAAATATGTACAGAAATGTACTTTTGCAGTGAGATGCCCTATGACCTACCTAGACAGTGTTTTTTTTGTGTAGATGAAGACAAACGTTCTGCCAAGGATTATGGTTCTACTCAGGTGATCCTACAGAACTGTCCCTCGGCAGCTGTTTATCCTGTCTCATTTGGCGTCGCCATTGTTATCAAGTAAGTGAGTTCTTGTGTTATTTTGTGAAAAAGTTCTCTGAGGTAGTCATTCTACCTATCTCAAATTTGTTTATAGACCATAATTCTCAGGAATATGACCTAAACTTGTGAATATATTTAATTAATTAAAAATTAATGTACCAAGTGCTGTTTGGTCTAAAGTTTAAGCCTGTCAATTTGAAGGTCACACGTAAATACTTAGGTAGAAATCGCATTGATTAGCTTTAGCTTGTTTCATGTCGTTATTTTCAGATTGAAACCTCCCTTGGTTTCTATGGTGATACTTTGGCTGCCAATAGCAAGCAAAGTTGTGATAAATGTAGGTCCCCACCAGGTGGAGTTACCAGAGTTAGGAACACGACAGCTAATAGATTTCCGGAGCCTGGCATTCAAGCTTATTGGTTACACAGTACAAGTTTGTATTCTTTATTACAGTTTCACCCAATTTTTGTTTTTAATAAATATATTTTTAGCTCACCTGCCTGAAGAGCTGAGAGGTATAGAATCTTCATATTTGGCTGGTAGCTTCCTGGGATAGAGCCCGACAAAGTTTGAGAATGAAAATGACCTTGACCTACTTTCAAGGTCACAGGGGTCAAAAGTGTCAAACACTTGAAACGACTTCTTCTTCAGAACAAAAAGGTATAAAATCTTCATATTTGGTTGGTGGTTTCCTGGGATAGAGCCTGACAAAGTTTGAGAATGAAAATGACCTTGACCTACTTTCAAGGTCTCAGGGATCAAATGTGTCGAACATTTCAAATGACTTCTTCTGAAGAAATGAAAGGTATAGAATCTTCATACTTAGAGCATAGATTTATAATATTTAGCTGGTAGCTTCCTGGGATGGCACCTGACAAAGTTTAAAAATGAAAATAACTTAGATCTCCTTATAAGGTCACAGGGGTCAAATATGTCAAACAACTTTTTAAGAAGAACCAAAAAGCATGGAATCATATAATAATTTTTGGCTGGTAGTTTCAACAGATGGAGCCGACAAAGTTTGCGAGTGAAATATTTGTAGTACAGGATAATATTTAATGAGAATATTTTGCCATGACTGCTTAAATATTCAGGTGAGCGATACAGGCCCTCTGGGCTTCTTGTTTTTATAAGATATCAACCTCAGTGGGAAACTTCATATTAATAACCTTAACTCTTGATATCATTGATAATAAGCATGATTAAAAAATAAGTCGGCCTTGGAAATAGGCCTTGGATTCCATGGAATCAAACATATCTTGAAAATAGGCAGTCTTTTGAAATAGGAAAGTATTGAAAATATGCCTTGGTATGCCAGGTAAGAGCCACATTTTTCCTGTTGAACTAAACAGATTTTACAGGTAACCATCAAATTACATGATTTATTGTAGCAACAACTCAATAAAACAAAACAGATCTAATTTTATTAACAAAGCTTAAATATAACAGAATATTATAGTTGAAACACAGATCATCTTTGAAAACGATGTCTGATCTAATCACAGTATTTTTGCTATAAGAATGTGTATTGTTTGTAGATGAAACCGGAACACAAAATGACAGGTGTGACTTATGACCCCCAGACAATGGAGATCACTGTGATAGATGGTCAAACAAATGTCAGAACTTTCTCAGACACAAAATGTAAGTTTGTGAAAATTGTAACCTTACTATATCTTACCTAGTATATCATAGTGAACTACAAATTTTATCACAAATAAGCCCCCTCCCCACCGAAAGACATTTGAGTACAGCAAATATTTCATTTAAAAAAAAATCATGTTGTACAAATAACCAGAAGACACACTTACATGAGCCTTGTCTTGAAGTTTTGTTTTTGCTGCAACAGATCCTTGCTGAAAAAACCTTTAATACATGTACTTGTTTCATAAATTTGTAAAGAAATGGAAACTTATTGTAAACGATTCTACATGTCTTGCAACTCAAATAATTTTACAGTACAATATAGGGTCAAACCGTTAAATAAACCCTGTATCAATTCCTGCAGGTTTCACCCATTGTAATATAACTGCAGGTAGTATAGAATAATTTTGAGAAATATATTTTTTATCGCAAATACAGCAAGTCTGCAGAAAAGCTACCAAAAGCTTGATGCCAAAGATTTCCAAGAAACTGAACGAGTCATCAACTGGATTAAGTTCCAAGGTTTTCTGGCTGCAGTATTTAAATCACATATAATGTAAGTACAGTTTTGAAGTGATATTACCATCACTTGACGGTGCTGATGTAACCAGAAATATATTCTTATTGTTATTATATATTATACATGGTAGTGTATAACTAGTCATTGGGACCGGGTGACAATTAAATTTGGTTCAGTGGTTAATAAGGTACCAGTAATAAGTTTTCATGTAAACAGCTGGAGTCTTTCCTTCAGTCAATTTTTTGACACACGCTGGACATTGTTTATTTAGGGAAAAATTTAGTGTACAAATGTACAAGTAGAAAGTGTATTTATCATTTCAAATTAACATTTCATTTAATACACACAGTTTACATATAGATCTCTAAGGTTTCTGCAGACTATTTTCTTGATATTGGATAAAAAGTATTACTAAGTAGTCTATATCGAAACTTGTCTGCAAGTAAAATTGCCTGCTTTAGTTTTACCTGTCTATAAAGGTAACCTGTGTAAAAAGTTAACAGAATTCACAAAGCCAAACTGATTCTATAGGTGTTGATGTATCATGTCGTCTCTGCCTGATTGTTTCTTCCTTTATTTAAAGAACATAATACTGTAAATAAAAGAATATACCAGTATGTAATTCTAATACATCTGTACTGTGTTATGTGTCCTTCATGCCCAAAGTAGTGTTCCTGGTATAATTGTAAAATATGGTATAGGAAAATAAAATAACAAATCATGTTAAACTTTGCTCTGCATTTACTCAATTTATCATTTGAAGTGAAGTTATCTTTGGTTTTGAACAGGTTGTTTGACCAAGACACTGGCCAGTTGGTGGACACCCTGGCTAGTCCAGACAACTCAGAGATTGTTGATGTCTGTCACCTTTGTCCAGGAACAATGTGGATGTCATTTTTCACAACAAATAACATATATGTAATCCAGGTGAGTGTCAGATGAAGGACATTCCAAATGTTAGCTGGTTCATGTAGGCCTGCTGTATCCCATGATATAGTGTATGAGGCTACTAATAGGGGGCCGCTGCAGCTTAGAATCCTTTGCTAAAATGTCCTCGGCTTAGAGGACATTGGAGAGGCCAAAATAGATTTGAAACAGTTTCGGTTTGTGTATTTTCCATTTTCATACTTTTCTTTACATTTTACTTTAATATTTCATTGTTTCTATAATTTTTAGCTCACCTGCCCGAAGGGCAAGTGAGCTTATGTCATGGTGCAGCGTCGTCGTCCGTCCGTTGTCTGTCCGTTGCCGTCTGTCAGCTTTTCCTTTAAACAACTTCTTCTGAAGAACGAACTGGCATAGAGCCATGATATTTGCCTGAAAGCTTCGTTGGTAGGAGCCTGACAAAGTTTAAAGGTCACAGAGGTCAACAACATTTCAAAGGATTTGTTCTGAAGAACCAAAAGGAATGGATTCATAAGATTTGGCTGGTAGCTTCTTGGGATAGAGCTAACAAAGTTTGAGAAGGAAAATGACATTGAGCTAATTACAAGGTCACAGGAAAAAATATGTCAAACGACAATCTTATAATAATATTTTGCTGGTAGTTTCAACAGATGGAGCCGACAAAGTTTGCAAGGGAAATATTTGTAGTGCAATATAATACTAATGAGAATATTTTACTATGACTGCTTAAATATTCAGGTGAGCGATACAGGCCATCTGGGCCTCTTGTTATTCTACTGTGTGGCCCTGTATATCTTACTGTGTTGATGGGTCGTTAAAGACACTGTGTAGTGTTGTTTAAATTAATCGTGTTGACTTGGGGCCTGTTCGTTTATGCAGAACAACAGGTTTGTCCGTTTATCAATGCAACAATTTCGGGTATAAATCCTAGCGGACCTGCAAATGTTTGTGCTGGCATTGCAAGGCTTTGTCAAGTCCGACCTTATTTAATAAACGAACAACTGTCGTCCGACCGGTTTAACTGTTTAAACGAAAACAGCCTAGCCTTTAGATGATTGTGCTGGCCTGCAAAACCTTATTTTGTTGACTGGTTGTTAAGCCTTCACAAAAAACAAACCAAAATTGTTGCAAAAAAAAAGTGATAGTACATGTATCTTGCCATATTAAATTAGTATAAATGATTAAATATATAGTTTTAATGGCAACTGTTAGTTTGTATAGCTGTGTTGATGGCTGTGCTCCTGTTGAACCAAATGATAAAATAATGGAAGGTGATTTGTAATCTGTGATTTCTAATTTGAACAGAGAAATAAGGAAAATACTGAAGAGAAAATAAAAGACATGTTGGCAGTCAATAACTTCCAGACAAAGGCAGTCGAACTGGGTTACCTTGAGCAGGTAGGTAGACAAAGGCAGTGGAACTGGGTTGCCTTGAGCAGGTTGGTAGACAAAAGCAATGGAACTGGGTTACCTTGAGCAGGTAGGTAGGCAAAGGCTGTGGAACTGGGTTACCTTGAGCAGGTAGGTAGACAAAGGCAGTGCAACTGGGTTACCTTGAGCAGGTAGGTAGACAAAGGCAGTGGAACTAGGTTACCTTAAGCAGGTATGTAGACAAAGGCAGTGGAACTCGGTTATCTTGAGCAGGTAGGTAGACAAAGGCAGTGCAACTGGGTTATCTTGAGCAGGTAGGTAGACAAAGGCAGTGGAACTAGGTTACCTTAAGCAGGTATGTGGACAAAGGCAGTGGAACTCGGTTATCTTGAGCAGGTAGGTAAACAAAGGCAGTGCAACTGGGTTACCTTGAGCAGGTAGGTAGACAAAAGCAGTGGAACTGGGTTACCTTGAGCCGGTAGGTAGCAAAAGCAGTGGAACTGGGTTACCTTGAGCAGGTAGGTAGACAAAGGCAGTGCGACTGGGTTATCTTGAGCTGGTAGGTAGCAAAAGCAGTGGAACTGGGTTACCTTGAGCAGGTAGGTGGACAAAGGCAGTGCAACTGGGTTACCTTGAGCAGGTAGGTAGACAAAGGCAGTGGAACTGGGTTACCTTGATCAGGTAGGTAGACAAAGGCAGTGGAACTTGGTTACATTGAGCAGGTAGGTAGACAAAAGCAGTGGAACTGGGTTATCTTGAGCAGGTAGGTAGGCAAAGGCTGCGGAACTGGGTTATCTTGAGCAGGTAGGTAGACAAAGGCAGTGGAACTAGGTTACCTTAACCAGGTAGGTAGACAAAGGCAGTGGAACTGAGTTACCTTGAGCAGGTAGGTAGACAAAGGCAGTGGAACTAGGTTACCTTAAGCAGGTAGGTAGACAAAGGCAGTGGAACTGGGTTATCTTGAGCAGGTAGGTAGACAAAGGCAGTGCAACTTGGTTATCTTGAGCAGGTCGGTAGACAAAGGCTGTGGAACTGGGTTATCTTGAGCAGGAAGGTAGCTTTAAAAGCCTATCAATTGTTTTAAAATAGTTGTTAAACTGATTTCCACATCCTGTGATTATACTTGTAAGATCTAAATTTAAGAAATTAGTCATAAACAGAATATAAAAAAATATCAATTTAATTTGAAGTACATTTTGGACAAGTAATTAGTTTAATTACATCATTGTAATAATAGATTTTTTTTCATGCAAAGATAAAACATATGTGCTGACTCCTTTTCATTGAAATTGAAGCCATTTCTATTTGTTCTGTGAAAGACTGAAAATGCTATTTCTGCTTGGACTTAGGCTTTTGATAAATTTTTGTAAGTTAAAAATATTAGAAGCGAGCTGTGCCACGCCCCTCTGATTAGTTTTTTTTTTAATCAAAAGAATGAATGACAAACATGATCAAGATGAATAATATTTTATTACAGTTTCAGTAATACACAGAATTTATCTTTAAAATTAAGGAAAATAAATTTGTAAAAGTGATAGAGAGTTTGGTGAATATGACTTCTACAGATAATGTATTATGCACGTATGTTGTGTTTCAGCTGAAGACACAGAACTGCGGTATTCCTGTTTATGACAGGATCACTAAGCTTGGCAAGGCTTGGGAAACTGAGAGCAGCCGACCTCCAAGTACTAAACTGGCAGAGACACTAAGTAATGTGTTTACTTATACATGGAACATGTTTGCAACAAGCATTCATTAAGTGAACTTACATTTATCAAATAAACTAGAAAACAGGAAATGTTGAAGTAATTTAATTTTTACTCCTTAGAATGAAAGCAAATTCATTTTGATAACAAATCTCTTAGTATGTAGCATAGTTTTTCAACTGTGAAAAGAAAATTTATACAGGGAGAATATTTCATGAGGGAACTTTTTCCTGGTACACGTATACAGAATTTGAATGAGAAAACAAGTATTGTATATTGATTGAATTCAAATTCTTTATACTGTTGATTATAAAAAGTAAGTCTGTGTAAATATTCTTGTTTTGTATCCAGATTAATTGATCCATTTCATTATATTTGGGGGATGTACAATTAATGGGAGATGATTGTAGAGGTGAGTGGAGACTGGTACAGTACAGTCATACATGTCTGACATGACTATGATCTTTATTTGACAAAATGATCAAAATTACGATCTTATAAAAAACACACAGAATGGATATATGTATTTTTGTTATTTTCAGATCCTTATTTGAGGGAGTATTGGAGTCTAGAGAAATTCCAACAGGAAATCCTAAATGGAACATTGGTAACTATGTGCAATATTATTTATTTTTGCAGAAGGTTTTCTTTTAGAAATTTGAACTTTTAAAATTTCATCACAATACATTTTTTCAATACAGATTGTATTTCATTATGTGCAGACAAAATAAGAAATGCTGATAGTTTAAAACTTATGGCGTACCTGTCCAGGTGTTGCCGAGTGTGTGTCCGGGAGATATTGAGGAGGAGGTCCTACGAGTCCTAAGTCCTGAAACGAGTATGTCTATGTCTGGGAGACAGGCGTGGCTCCTCCTCCTGGCCGACAAGTATCCGCAAGAAGTGCTGGCCATCCTTATGAAGCAGCTTGACTTTGATACAGGTAGGGCAGGGATAGTATGTCAAGGAATACTTTCTTTTTCTTTCAATTTTTTTTCTTTCAAAAAAATGGCAAGGAATATTTGATGTGATATTAAGTTTTACTTAAGGACATGTATTACGTTAATTTGAAACTGATCTCATTCCCAAAAGAATTCCACACCAAATACCTATAAAATATGAAAAGTAATTAGGACATTGTTTATTAACTGATGATATATTTGAAAGTAATATTGGAATATACATGTTACAGAAGCTAGTATGCTAGTATAGCAAGTAACAGGAAGGATACATTGTGCAGTACATAATCTATATTTTCCCCCAGAGGACATCAGCCCATCCCAGTTACAGCGCTGGCAGTGTATCCTAGCCAAGGACAGTGTTGTGAGCCCTGTTAGTACAAAGGTTGCCGTACCCATGTTTGAACACACCTGTCGTCTGCTGTTCATCGTCCAACCTTCAAAATTGGTGAGATTCTATTTTGTAGTTGCTGCAACGTTTTAGGTTTATATCTATTCATCACAAAGTCTGTATACAGTTTAAAAATTCAAAAATGTACACACTAGATATTGTATCAATGGGTGTACAGTTACAAAATAATGTCTTTAATTTACAAAGTAATTGATATGTATGCTCTGTTCGAGAAGTGCAGTGTTCTCGCTACTGTCCCCTATAGCAATTTGTTTTATTATATCAAACTTTTATTATTTTGTTTCCAGAACTTTGCAAAGTTTACATTTTATCCAATTAGACAACATTCATTGCACTGACTCAATCAGAATGATCAAACTGTACTGAAATCCTAAAGTTATGAATATATATTGGATTATGTTTGTTTAATTTCACTGTTACCTTTATAATTATTCAGGTAAACTTTGTAAAGATTGCCCAGCTGATCAATGACCAGCGAGTGGGTGTGTCGGCCTTCATCAGGAGAAGGCAAGCAGTGAGTAGCATCTTCGTGATTTTCTACTGCTTAAAAAGTGTTCTGTCAGTTTTTATCCCACCAATTCAGATCAGAGTGAAAAATTGTAATGACACTTGTGTATCTGTCTCACCTATGTGTCTGCATATGCACAATGACTTGAATTCCCAACAGCTGAATCTACTCCAACCTCATAGAGTACTTCCTCACCAAATGTGAAATTGCATTTTAGGTCAAAGGTCAGAGGTCAAGATCAGTTTTACTACATAAATATAACTAGAAAATGGTTTCAACACAGCAACTCTAGTTATGGGCTGATCAAACTGAAACTTCACACTCTGCTTACCAAAACTGCTTGCTTGGGATTGCTTTTTTGGCCAAACTGTCAAAAGGCAAGGTCACTGATACTATGAATAGAAATAGGTTTCTGCAAAATAGCTCTAGTTCCAATGAATAATCACACTTGACCTTCATGCATTGCTTCCTTACTGGAAGAATTTGCTTGGATTTTTTTTCAGGTCCAGAGGACAAAGTTCAAGGTCACTGGTGCTATAAATAGAAAAATATTTTTTCCAACCAACTCAAACCTAAAACACTGCTTTTTTATCAAGAGGACTTGCCTGAGCTTGATTTTCAGGTTCAAAGTTCAAGGTCACTGTTGACACAAATAATTGTAGAGTGTTAGATTCTGCATCACACTATACCTTGTTTTTGAAAAATCATGTCTTATTATACATCAACTTAAACATTGATCACTGAACATGATGTAAGAGGGATGAACAAGGGGCACCCCAACCCTGGCATCCCTCCTAAAAGATGCTGGGGAAATCAAATCTAATTTTAACCTATAAAAAAATCCACTGATCAGAGAGGTTACCAGGTAGTATATTTCACTGATGCCTTGTGAAACTAGACATCTTATGGCTATAATCTCGACGGTTGCTGCTAGGACACATTCAGTAAGAAAATGTATCAAAACTAGACATCTTAGGTCTATATAAGATGCCAATAGTTTTTAGTTTCAGTTAAATTTGTACCTTTTTAAGGGTGTCTGATTTTAGAGTATATAGACCAAATTGACTATAGATTGTCAATAGATGATATGTAAATAAAAGGGGAACAAATTTTCAGCATATAATTGTATGTAGTAGATGAATTAAACTACCATATATTGAATCTATGATTGTGGAAGACAACAAACATGTCAACATTTTCTGGGAAGATCGTTAACAAAATATGATAACTGGAATGTTGCTATAATGGATGTTTCCTTGGTTACAGCTTCAGTACTATGACCGTGCCATCATGTGTCTACCTGACCTGTCCACATCTCAGTGTATCAAGGAAGCAACACCTGCCTATGTTCAACTTCTACTGGCCAGGTAAGGCCTGGATACAGACCAGGGATAGCAAAGCTGTCACATCAGCTGCAATAAAGAACCTTCTTTTTTGGAGAAAATTAACATCTAATCTTTGTGAGTTACTGCTCAGCCATAGTTATCAACCGCTAAAACTCTCCAAAGAGGGAGATCTCCCTAATTCCACATCTCTTATGATAGAGCAAGTGTGTGAAATGCATCTACAGTAACATTTCTACCTTATTTATTTCACCTTTTTTATATCAGAAAACTCCAAAAATCTTAATCATCATCTATGCAATCATATTTGCCTATTATACATCTCGAACAACAGGGAGACAATTTGACCTCTGAATTTGAGTGCAGATTTTGATTTTGTGTGAGCTATGATTAAATGAGGGTTTTGGGAGGGAGTTTTTGCAAATTTGGTGAAATTGGAAGAGTCTCCCTCCAAATGAGAGGTGATTAACATCTATGCTCACCAGTTCTTCCATTCCTGTTTGTAAAATGAATAATGAATTCTATCCTTTCAAGTGAACAAGATGGGTGTGAAATAAAGGCAGTGCAGACATGTATGGACCAGGAATGCTGGAAGGATGCTATTGAACTCATGTCCATGTATACAGACAGCCCTGCTCTTCACATCAAGTTATTCCACACCATTCTCCTGTGTATGACGCAGGTTAGTATGTCCCGAGGGTCACCTTAATCAGTTTCGGGTGGTGCAGTGGATAGCGCACTTGCCTTTCACCAAGGCGGCCAGGGTTCCATTCCCCGATCGGATATGAAAAGGTTGGGGTCACCTGCCCAACCACGTGGGTTTTCTCTGGGTCCTCCGGTTTCCTCCCACACTAAGACCCCACACACGCTAACATCCAGGCCAACAAGATTGATTAATATAAGTTGAAATAACTTGTTTCATAATTGTTGTAAAATAAAGTTTATATTTATATTTATTAATCAGTGTCTGTCTCCACCAAGATTATTTATATCAGTGTGTTTGACTTTAAACTTATTTCATCATATAAAACATTTTGAATATGTAAGTCACATGTATGATATTACTTTTAAACATGTAAAGAGTTATTCTAGAACAGTATGTTTTGGTTATATTTTTTAACAGAAGGAAGTGTTGGCACAACATGCTGAAGCCCTCTTCACCAACATGCCAGTGTGTAAAAGGTTGGTAGACCATGTTTTTAACGGCTCACCGTAAACATAATGTAAACATTTACCAGTACAATGTATTCTGATGTAACCCTGGTGCCGTAGCCCTGATCAAGAAACATTTGTTTTCTCGCCAATTCTTTGGTTCAGCTCATATGTGTTTTCTTACTAATCCAATAAAAATTGCATGATTAACTAAAATATTTGACCAGTGCATTTTTCATCCATTCTAAAGCTTTGACTCGGTGACGTCAGCATTCCCACTACAGAACAAAGATGGCTCAGGCACCAGTAGTGTGAAGCAGGTATTTGCATCAGAACTGGATCAGGTACATATTGCTCAAATACGACCCTATCTGCTGGACAAGGTCAAGGAAACTGAAGCAGCCAATGAGTGAACAAATACGGCCCTATCTGCTGGACAAGGTCAAGGAAACTGAAGCAGCCAATGAGTGAACAAATACAACCCTATCTGCTGGACAAGGTCAAAGACACTGACGCAGCCAATGAGTGAACAAATATGGATTAAATGTTTGACAAACTTCAGTACATAGTAGATCTATGTACTTGCTATACTGTAAATTTCAAATTTTTTTGCAAGTGCGCTACAACTGACTATTATTAAAGATTCTATTTTGTGGGACCCCCCCCCCCCCTCCCCCCATATCAACATTCTGTTTGCATATTAACCAACATTTACAAAATTTAATTTTTTGATGGAATCATCTAGGATCGTCGAGATAATATTTATAGCTACTTGAAACAATTACAGAATGAACAATAAGAACAAACAATGCAAATATTCTTCTTTCAATCATTATATTATTCCTTCTTTGCGTATTGCAGAGTTATCTTCTCTTGTGAGCAGGTATTGATTGTTACGTCATTGGTTTGTGTGAGAAAATTACGTCGTTTTCTCAAAAATTGATGACGTTACTCTCACAAACAAATGACGTAACACTCAATACCTGCTCCCAAGAGCAGATAACTCTGCAATACGAAAAGACAGAATAAGTGTTGATTTGACACTTGAGGAAAGTATTTTGTCAGGGAAGTGTTTTTGAATTGTTTTCTGGTTGACATTTGGAATGAAATATCTATGTGATGTCTCATTAAATAAAGGTGATACCTTTGTTATTCTTTAGTTTATGGAGACACAGTAGTCTAGTGGTAGGACGCCGGGCTCGTGACCTAAGGGTTGTGAGGCACAGTGTTCTAGTGGTAGGACGCCGGGCTCGTGACCTAAGGGTGGCGGGTTTCTTCTCAGCTGTAAATGAGTATGTGGTTGGGCAGCACTAGAATTGTTGAATGCTAGCTGTTAGTGTGGAAATGGCAGCTCCGGCTGTATGCTCCCCAGGGAGTTGAGAAAGACATTGGCTGGTTGCAAAGGCCCTGTAACCATGGATAATAATTTGTGATCCGCTTTGAGACGACATACGGACTAGGTTGTGATAAAGCGGTATATAAGAACCTCAAATTATTATTATTATCATTAGTTTTGCAACCTATAATGATTAGTTATAAATCACATGGCAACTATGTTTAAACTTTGATTCTATCTTCATAACAACCTCTTTGAGTAGAGCTCATTGTCTATGTGTGATAAATAATTGAGTGAAAGACTTTGATAAATGATTGACATGTTAAATCAAAAAGTGTGGTTGCATATGAATGTTGTATATGTATGAATGAATTGAAATCTTTTTCTTACTTCTATCTTTCAAAGTGCAATGAAATATAACACAGCATAATTTTCATAATTCACTTCTATATATCATTAATTCAGAATGTATATATGTTATAATTTAATGAATTAGTAATTTTCTATGAAAGTTTGTATTACTATTGCATTTACAAAAGCACTGGCACCTTAAGGTTAAGGGTATCACTGCATCAATTATTATAGTGAAGAAGAGTTCCACTCAAAGTTTTTTGACTTGGATATATCTCCCTTCTATATAGAGAATGAAGCAGCAAAAAAAAAAAAAGCTTAGAGGTTCTTCCTTTGTTATATTTTTCATATGCATTGCAGCTCGTAAATTGGACACTCATTCGCATGCTGTGTTTATAAAATTCCTGTAAGACAATGTTGGTTTAGTGAGCTGGCTTCGCAATAAAAAGGTCCCGACTTGGACCTCTGCTGTTTCTTGGTGTTTTTTTTATCTATTTTCTGCATTCAAATTTCAAACAAATTCAATTCTGCAAAATGCATGGCAACGTGTGAATTTACAGAATATTTCTTTTGAAAAGGATTTAAGCAAATGTTTTGCTGTGTGTGACACTGTGTCAATGGTTATAATTTAGTTTAACTTGTAAGTACCATTTAACTTATGGATGCCTGATCATACAATTGTTCCTAATGTCAGAATATGTATATTTTTTCTGTTGTATATATCATTATGAATTATCATTCATCAGCACAAAGAAAATCTAATAGGATGAAGAAATCCATATACATGTATCCACATTTTTATACGCCCGTCGAAGACGGGGACGTATTATGTTATCACGTGAGCGGGCGGGCGGGCAGGCGGGCGGGCGGG